AAGGGGAAAAGGCTGGTCACACGGATCTTCCAAATTCGCAAATGTACTATTCCAGTGCCCATTTGTCAGCGGCCTGGAGGGAGATCCCACTACCGATGTATGTGGAGTAGTGGAGAGGTTGTGGAACTCCGAAGCACCGTGGATCGGACTGGATATCTGCGGTGTGTTTTTATTTGTATTTACACACTGGGACATATGTGTGTTTCGGGGGCCTCCCATTGGGTGGTATTTCTTTTCTTTTTGAACAAGTGTTCCTCTTGGGGTCCCAAAGGTGGGTAGAAATCATAAGGATTTTTTTTGTGATGATTTTCACACACCTTCTACTCACCTTTGTGTCATTGGCCATGCTTGGAAGACAGGCAGAAGTGATTGTGGTTTGGGAGGTGTTTTGGAGGGTTCTATCCTCTCACCWACAGCAAGTGYTKYATGCAGTTACTCTTGYCCTCCTTTGTSAAAGAGAAGTTATGTCAGAACAACCCAGTAAGGTGCAATGTGGCCCATTTCAAGGAAGCCTCAGAGTATGGTCAATGAATATGGTCCATGTGCCGGCTCACATGCAGTTGTCTCGACTGCCAAGCCATGGTCAGTGAATCATGCCCTGACATCTGACACCCCGGCTGGAGCAGACACCATCTGTGAAAAGAGCACTTTCTTTTCTTTTTTTGATTTTATTTCTTCATTTGTTTGGTCATGAAATGGTTTTTTGCATTTATTTTCACTATTTCACGCTGCCACCCACCTGTCCCCCACCCATCCCACACCCGTCTCACTAATCCAAATCCATGGGTAGTGGGATCTCCCTCCTGGGAAGCCTCCAGGCAAGGGATTTTGTGGTCACCTCTGGAGGTGACCGCAAATTCCCTTTTTTTTTAATCATTTTCTTCAAAAATTGACAAAAATTCGTTCACAAAAGTTCTTGCACAATTGGTGGATGGCGCCGTGTGACCAGCCAAGTACCAAATCCCCATTTCTCCAGACGGCCTCTACCTTGTCCCATTTGAAAAGGTACAGCAGTGTGAGGTGAACCATGCCCAAAACCTCACATAGGCCCTTCCCAAATCCACAGATTTTGCGGATTTGGGGTCGCCGTGTGAGTATGCCCTGACTGCAGACAACATATTTTCGCATCTCAAGGCCAGGTCGCAACCCTGTCTTTTCTGCTTTGGGCAACAAATGAATGACCAGTGTGACCCGCAGGTGCCATATGAAAGCAAATTCACATACGTAAAATTTGCGGAAGTACGTGCTAGTGTGAGTATGCCCTAAATTGCGGTGAGGTCCATCCAGGTGGGGTCCGAAAAGAGGTCATTCACAGAGAGGAAAGTACTGTGCCCGAAGAAAGACAGGATGCTGCACAGTTCATTGCCACGCTCTTTTCTTGTCTTTCCTTTCCTTCTTTTTGCTAGGCGCACTTTCTTTTTTTCTTGGGAAAATTGCATCTGTACCCCACTTAAAGATGGGAATACCCGCGTTACCCAGTCCCAGCACAAACTTGCATCTATACCCGGAGGGCGTTCAACTTTGCATAGTACCCAGCTTTTCCACTGACAGTGTGCGAAATTGTACATGTACCCAATCCCGCAGGCGCAAAATTACGCTCAGGTCCACCCTATGAACCCCCCCCGGCGGCGGACAGGCGCGGCCAAGTCCGCGGCCGCGGCCGAGTCCCCGACCCCGCAGACGCGCGGCTTCGCGGATGCGTGGCGGCCGCTGGAGAGGGAGGTTGAGGAATCGGGAAGC